AATTGGGTCCCAAGCCCAACTTTGGGAACCAAAGTGCAGTGGTTCCCAACTAAGGCAAAAATGTAATTAATTCAGAAAATCTTTTCAGGACCCCACCTTGATGTTTCAGGACCCCACTTTGGGTCCCGACCCCAACTTTGGGAAACACTGCCTTATTGGGTTTAATATTTTTGTCTTAGTCCCTCCTGTGGGCTTATGGTTCTGTTTTCTTTCTTTTTTTTTTAATGGCCCCAACTCAGTCAATTTTAAGCAAAAATTTGGTGTGGTAGTAGCCGAGGGTCATCCCCAGTAAATTCTTTGAACACAATCTGACTGCACAAAATTTGTTTAAAAAAATAGCTACCATAAAACAAATTATGACGCATTTCACTATTTGAAATAATAAATAATTGGCTAAATACTGTGCAGCTTTTTTTACATTTTAGTGTATTGGAAATAATTTATCCTATGTGCAATTTAAAAATCTGACAAAAATGACAAAGTTATGGCAGTTACAATACAAGTGATAAAAGTTTTATTACTGATTTGCTACAAACGTTGAGGTTATAAACACAAGAGCTAATGAAATGTATAATATTGAACATTGTAATAAAACACTGTCACTGGAATAGAAATGTTCTTAATAATTTGATAATTTGATTTAATACTAATATTACAGAGTTAGTGTTTTACAGTCAAGTAAGGCATCAAAATGCAGGAAGAAAACACGATTAAATACATCAGTACTCAATTAACATGGTGAATTTCTCTTCACTTGTCTCTTTTCTTTTCAGCAGACCAATAACCTGTAAAAAAAAAGATAAATGTATAAATAGTAGTTGTGTTTGTTGCATTGCTGTTATACTTTAAACCAGTCAATGCATTAGAAATCTAAAAAAAACCAGTCTCAGTCTTACTGGATCTCAAGCTGTGCCTCCTCCTACACACCTGAGTCAGGAGGAGGACAGAAGAGCCTCAGCTCAGAGCTTAGCAGATTTAGAGGAGGCTATACCCAACAGCACGGAGACGTCGTTGGCCGAGGTCAGCCACGCTCCGCCATCCGCCACCAGGATGGCTCCGGTCACGTAGGACGATGCTCGGCTGGCCAGGAACAGGGCACAGTGGGCCATCTCCGTCTTGTTGCCGACTCGCTGCAGAGGAATGGACTGGAAGGAATGGTCCGCCTCTGCACGAACGCCACCTGATAGTTTTAAAAGCACAAGTCCCATCTTCAGATAACATTACTTCGATTTATGTTACAAACGTTTCATCGGTTTAAAAGTGGCAGTTCTTGAAGTTGGATGAACGTATGGGACAACAATTAATCCAGCAAAACAGTCTCTAAAAGCAGCGTCCGTTGTAGGAGGCTGTATGAGAGCATGCTTCATCTTTACCGAGTCTGCGAAAACCCTCGGTGCCAGAGATTGGCCCCGGAGCCACGGCATTGACCCTCACCCCGCTGGGCCCCCACTCTACAGCCAGGTGCTTTGTCATGGCATCTGGGGAGCAGACCATCAACACAAGTCACCAGAAATGCATTATTTTTTTTTTCATTTCACATGAAACGACGATGATCTGACGCCACGCTAAAAAGAAACGCTCGCACCGTTTGCTGCCTTGGCAGAGCCAGCGTGCACCTGAAGGGCCTGTCCTCTGTATGCAAGTGTTGCAGAGATGTTGACTATGTTGCCACCATGATCCTACACAAACACACAAATTATTAGCCTCATTATTGATAAAATATGTTAATAATACCATTAGCTTCAAAACACAGTGGAAGATATTGAAGTCCCATCTAAAAATGGAAACATGCCCGATAATCTGGTGATTTTAAGTTGCATTACACAACAACTTAATACAGATATCACAACGTAAAACACAAGATCAAGAAAAAGAACAAAACAAGAAACAACAATATTTTAGAAACATAAGAGAAAACATTTTTTTAAAAAAGCTCAAAGAAGGGTGAAAAACAAGGAGGTTTATAGCAGAGAAGAATATATAATTTGCTAAATTAGTCAAGGGATTTTTTTTAAGGATCTGTATTTTACTAAGTATGTTTTTAAGTTTTATTTTGTTACATTCAAAACTTCCCTTTAAAATTTAACACCTTATAAATAKGACCAGAACTCACCATGAAAGGAGTTGTTTATGCACTCTGAAGAATTAAGTGGAMGTTACTGAAACTTGCTTAATTATATTCAACACTTTATTTCTTATAGTGTATGCAGAAGTACTTTTACTTTCCCGATTACTGAGAAGTTTATGGCTTTTACTTGAGCAAGTTTCTTAGTATTGAAATTAATTTTCTGTTAAGGTATTTGTACTTTTACTTAGTTTTTTCCCCTCCAAGTACTTTATACATCTTTGCTAAAAACATTAAAAATACAAAAGAAAAAAACATGTCTTGTTGGATGTTTTTTTTTCTTTTTTCGCTTTCAGAGAAGAAACAATTTGTTTTATTCAATGCTTTTGTAATTGATCATTTTTATTGTTGTGCTTTATTCAATTCTGATTCATGCATCCGTTGTGTTTTTTTGTTTTGTTTTGTTTTTTGTTTTGATTGTGGGAAATGTATTTTACACCATCAGGGTSAGAATGTGCATCTACTTTTGTGTTAGAAATAGAAATATTAGTTGTTGTTTTTTTTACCTCCCTTCGTTAAAAACTGAAAAATCTGTGTTCTGCAGGCAGAAGAAGACATTTACCTGAAACCATTTTTCATAAACCACCTTGCTGGTATTGAATGTGCCCATGGTGTCGATCTCCATGACCGTTTTGAAGGCGTTGAAGGAGAGCGCAGAAGCAGGACAGATAAAATTTCCAGCTGCGTCTGTGAACAAGCAGCATTTGAACGAGAAAGAAAATGAGTGGAAAAACTGTGCACAATGTTACTTTTAGGCCTGACATGATGCATCCCTTTGAATATTATTACAAGGATCCTTTAAAGCAGTGGCGCCCAATCCTGGTCCTTGAGGGCCACAATCCTGCATGTTGTAAATATTTCTGTTTGACACACCTGACTGGAATGATGAACAGGCTTCTGCAAAACACGAAGTCATGCTCAAGAGCAGAGAAACAACTTAAACATGCAGGAAAGTGGCTCTTGAGGACCAGGATTGGACTCCAGTGCCTTAAACAAACACTGCAGAGAAAAAAAAAAACAGGTAGATGATTAAACCAAAATCCCTAATCTGACCTTTGTTCCACTGTTGAACCCAAAGATACTGACAGAATGTGAACCTGTGGTGCTGGATACATTGTGTACCGGGAGTWTCAATGATCAACACAAACACGAGACAGATGAGATCCTTTTATCAAAAGCTTTTTTTTTTCTATTTTTTTTTCCTTTTTGCAGAAGATGCCACCTACTGTTGATAAGGATGTCTATGTGACCAAACTCTTTAAGCGCCTCATCCACGGCAGTGTTGATGCTCGCAGGCTGCCTCACGTCCATACACAATGGAAGGCAGCGTCGTCCGGACGCAGCAGACAGCTTTTTCGCTGCCTAAGAAAAGCATCATTATGAAAAGGCCAAAGCAAAGATATCTAGACATTTTATACAGTGCTTTTTGTTTGTTTGTTTGTTTGTTTGTTTGTTTGTTTGTTTGTTTGTTTGTTTGTTTGTTTGTTTAACAAGAATTTACCTCTTTCAGCTTGTCCAAGTTTCGGCTGGCGATCACTGTGTCACAGCCATGCCTGTGGAAGAGGAGAATAAAATGGAACATCGGCCCTCATGCAAGAACCRTTCGTACGCACAGATTTGTTCTTAAATTGTGCGTACGAGTGATTTAGGAGAATTTGTGGCATTCACCAATGTTTTCGTATTCTACGATTTTTTTCAGATACGAACAAAATTCACAAGTGGTCCASACCTATCGTATATTTTATGAGCAGTCAGTCTGCTGTTATCCAGATGGATTTTCTTCACTGATAACTTTAAATTTCATTAGTTTTCAGATATTTTGAGTTGCAAATAAATCACACTATAATTATGTTGACAAGAGGCTATTCTGCTTGAATTAGAATTAGAATTTTAAATGTAATAACGTAGACTAACGATATACATTGGTTAAATTAAAATAAATTGGCTATTTATTTTGTTGTATAGCACTACAATATTAATATGAAGTTAACTGAAGTTTTGAGACATTTTAAAATGCCTTTTTTTCTGAAATGCATCTGATACTTGCGAAGGTTGTGGGGGTTGTGGTACGCGACTGCTCTTCTGAATAAATGAAAACTATGTAAACACAGTTGTTTACACTGAAATTAAAAAATATTTGACCAAAAAAAATGAAGTAGGACTAGAGAGAGATGAATATGATTTAGATTTTTATTTAAGTTTAAGTTTTTATTCATTTATAAAGCATCATTCATACTAAAAGCAGCTCAAGGTGCTGTACAAAATTATGCACAATAAACAAACCCATAAAAACAGCAACAATAATACAATAAAAACAATCATTAAAAAATGTAAAGATCAGAAAAGATACAGTTCAAGGAATACATTTAAAAAAGATGTGCCTTAAGCCTGCTCTTAAATATTGCAACACTCTCTACAGCCCTCACATTTTCAGGCAGAGCATTCCACAGACGAGGGCCATAGTACTGAAAAGAAGCCTCTCCRTTTGTGTGTGTTCTGACTCTTGGAACAGTTAATAGTCCAGAGCCGGAGGATCTTAGGGTTCGTGGCGGTTCATATGGTAATAACAGTTCARCCAGATAAGATGGCGCAAGACGATTAAGACGTTTAAAAACCAGTAAAAGAACCTTAAAATCAATTCTAAGATGTACAGGAAGTCAATGCAATGAGTTTAAAAACAGGTGTAACAGGTGCCTGCCTTCTGGTCTTGGTTAGCATACGAGCAGCGGAGTTTTGCAACAGCTGCAGACTATACAGAAGACCAGAAAGCAGTGCGTTACAATAGTCTAAACCAGTGGTTCCCAAACTTTTTATCTTCTGACCCAATAAATATTCATGGCAAAAACTTGTGACCCCAAATATTACTGGTCTGAGTACACAAGCTTTGTTAATAACCCTAAAAACACAGGCTTTTTGACAATCTAAACAGC